ATGAAGGCCAAGTAGGCCGAACTGGACAGTGTGTTGGACAACTTGAGCCTCAGTTTCCCTGTTCTGAAGAGTGGGTTACAAGTGTCTCCCATTCCTTGCTCGTAGAATTGTGATGAGGATCGGTGAGGTCATGTAAGTGAGTACCTTGTAAACGTCAAACTATCTGCCCCCATACTTGAGCAGAGAGTTTCTGAGTCATTTCTACATATCAGTCCCACGAAAGTGGCCGAGGATTGGGAAGTGCTCTGAAGGGATTTCGATGACTATTTTCATTCAATATTAACATTTCCAAAGGTAGGCAAATTGAGGAGTTTTAAGACACCTCCAAGGCTTTGTAAATCAGTGATACAAATAAACATGAATGTGGTAGTATTTCTGTAGAAATCACTTTAAAATATAACTCCTTTAAGTCAAACTTCTTAAAGAAGCACTTCAAGCATTTAGTAGGGTTTATTTAAAAATAAAACATTGTGACAATTACACTAACAATAGTAATAGATATGTCATTTAACTGCACTTAATAATTGCTAGACACTATACTGTAATATGCAATTGTAATGTATGTACTACAACTCATTTCTCATCACAGATATGAAAGATAGGTTCTAGAAATACCACGTAAAGGATAAATTGAAGATCTGAGAGGTTAAATAACTTCCCTACAATTTCACTCCTAGGAAGTGCCGGGGTAAATGCAAACCCAGGCGATCCATTTCTCCAAGACTGGGGCGGTGGAAAGCACTTGGACTGAGGTGGGAGTGTGGGCGGGGGCAGTGTCACGTAGTGTGTGGGACGCACAGGGATCCCCCACCCCGCCCATGAGGGGAGGGACCTCCAGACACCAGGGGGCTACAGACCTGTGTGAGCTCACCCTCCATGCATCCCTCAGCCCAGCAAACCCAGCTCCTGCGGTGGCATGGGTCCCCTGAGGATGCCCAGTTTCCATCAGCTCTTCAGACTCAGAAGCCTTGCATCACCCAGGACGCTCAGAGCTGACGGAGCTCAAAGCAGATTCATGGGCCAACCCGCTTCAGTCGGCGATGGTGGCCTGAGCAGGGGCAGTTGAATTTTCCCGTGTGCTCAGAGCTTTTGCTTTTCCATGCTCACATGGCGAGCAGCTGCCCAGGGTCCCGCTGCAGGGTGGGATGGTGCATTCCTTTCCTCACGCTCAGGTGTTCGGCAAGTGTTTTAATTAGGAGCCACCCCAAATTTTAAAAACACATGTTTTGCTAATATTTCGGGTATATCTGGGAGTTTTTAAATGCAGTTGATTTGATTAAAAGTCAGGAGCAAAAAGTACAAAGCTCCGGTAGACAGGAGGTGTGGATTTTTTTCCTTTGAGATACATTGAAGAGAATAGTGATTATAGTTAGTAATCACAGGCTGTACATTTTTGCTGTAAATTAAAAACATTTTTACCATAAAAATTAAGTATTTGAGATGATAGACATGTTATCCTGATTTGACTATTTTGCACTGTATTCATAAAGCATGACATTTCTTTTTGTCCCATAAATATACGATGCAGGAATAGTTTGTCTATTTGCAATTGCAAAATTAAAAAGAGGAGATGGTTATGTTGTGGTCCCGACTCCATACACATGTAGTAAGAGCATAAGCACCATGCATAAAACAGGAACCTGGAGGTGCAGGTGGACCTGGGAGCCACTCCTGTCTTATCTCCCTATTCGGTGTGTGTTATGGGCCATAGATGAAGTTTCTCAGAACCCGGGTGTCCTGGTGTCCTCTTTTATAAAGTAGAAATAGGCACAGCTACTGAAATGACAAGAAACAATGAGCTTTCAGTATCTAACAATTAGCAGGCCTACCAATGGCACCTGCAAATCACTAATAAAGGGGTCCATCTTTTACCAGTTAGCCCCAGTATCATACGCCCCTGTAACTCTTCATGTTTGAATCTGTGTGTGGGAATAATGTCTACTAAGCAGTGTACGCACATATATAGCCATAAATGAAAGACGGGAAGCAACGAAACAAAAAATGAAGCAGATAATCAGGATAATTCCCAAACAATTCTGTAACAAAAGTAAAAACAAAAACAAAAACAAAAAAACCCAAAAACAAAGGTCACCAAAAACAACTCCTATGATTTCCCCAATTACCTTTTTGAGTTGCTGATACCTAACCCAAGGCTTCTCAGATTAACCGATGACTTGCAAAACCATTGAAATATCTTTTTCCCTCTGTTTCATAAGCTTCTGGGAACATCGGGTAGCTGGAAGAATTCTATGGAGTGCTGACCTCTACCCTGGAAGTTGCTGGTGGTGGGAGATACAACTGCTTCACGTAGTGGGATTCAGAATAGGATCGTTCCCAACCTCGCTGTTACCCACCAGCCCCGACCCTGCACAACACCAAGAGCTTCCAGTCATCTGCCGAGTGGCTGAGTCAGGCACAATGTGCACTTTCTCTCAACCTCAGAGCAACCCGCAGAGTATTATTACTCCTCTCAGTTTCAGATCGTAGCTGGGGATTTAGCTCAGTGGTTTGGTGGCCTGCCTCGCAAGCACAAGGGCCTGAGTTTGATCCCCAGTACCACAAAAACAAAAAAAAAGAAAGATTCAAATTGTAAAGCACCAGCTGTCTCTAGTTCAAGAGGAGACAGGTGAAGCCATGTACCTGAGGGTGCACAAGCCACACAGCAGATTCATGTCCACTTTTGACTGATCTCAAAGCCCTTTCGCTTTCCATATTACCACAACGTTCACCTTCACTGAACTTCTCTGAGCCCCAGTTTCAACATCTTCTGACTGATTTAATGTATGCTCTGCCCACTACATTAAAATCATTATATATGAACATGTACATTCAAAGGCTCTGTAGATTACACAGATAACTGTGATATATGACTATTCTCAAATGACATCATTAAAATAAACTTCCATACATTTATGCACATTGATAAATTCCATGACGACTGTGGGCATATTTTATGAGTAAGGTCAAAGATTTGGTTTAAGGAAAAAGAACCAATAGCGAAAACCAACATTTACAAACCATATAATGTGTCAAGTACACACTATATTTCAGATAATATAAATACTATATTATTAAAGATAAATGATTTTCAATATAAGTCTTATGTAATCTGCCTGCATTACAAACATACAGGAGTTGATACTGGGAGATGAAAAGAACATGCATGGCCCAAGTGGCAGATTTAGGACCCTGACCAGCTTGGTCAGGCATCCAATCCTGTCGACTTTTCACAGAGTAACTGACTTGTGGCAAACTGAGCAGAAAATGGGGTCCCCTGACCTAAAGGCCAGAGCTGGCCGGATGTACAGGAAGTTATAGCCTGTTTTCAGAGCTCTGAGGTTCTGAGGTTCATACAGTTATTGAGAGGCCCTCCTTGGTGAAAGAGAAACAGCACCACTAAGACGATGGGTGTCAAGGACCCTTGTAGTAGTGGATTCAAGAAGGAACTCCAAGAAGCTGCAAACAGACATACTTAACTATATACACAGTGGTCAGAATCAGGTGAAAATAAGTTTAATTTGGAGTTGTTGCACAATGCATCACTGTCTGGAAACCCTTGAGCATGTTCCTTTGAACACTCAAGCTCTTTGTCTGTGAAGGAAGGAAGATAATCCCTAGTGCTCAAGGCCAGGTGTAAGGGTCAAGTGAGTTACTATACATGCCTGGCTGGCTAGAGTCAGAGTCACAACCATGCCAGGCACCCTTCCTGGTTCTCTAGGTCATATTTTATCTGAAGTTTCCTCCAGTAGGTCTCCAATTAGCCAGAACTACCATCCTTTTCCCGATCTTTGACATGCCTATTTCCAGTGTTTGGGTGGCCCCTGGGAATGCCAAGTAACTTCACACAATATAGACACCAAGACACAATTGGGGAAGTGACAACACCAGATAACAATCAGATGGATTATCAAGGCTTAATCCCATCAGAATCTTTTAGAACCAAAGTCTCTGCACTTTGTTGACATTTACTGTATTTTCTCTCGCTCCAGTTTATCACTTGTCTGTTGTCTCCAAGAAAAACCCCGGTGTCATTTCAAAGTGAACATTTTATCCCAGCTTTACTCTCCCTCTTGGCCTTCTGGCCCCTGAGAGGTGCAATATGTCAGCATAATTCCAAAGTCCACATCTTCCACACCAAAGCAGTGTTAATTTAGAAAATACACACACACACACACACACACACACACACACACAAATCTATTTCCACTGAACTCCAGGAATGAATGTCTACTGTTAGTGACTCACTCTGAGTCCAAGCTGTCACTCTAAGAGCAGACAGACAACAAGAAAGCCTGCAGTCAGTGGGGTCTGTATATCAGCAGCACCGCCAACCATGGAGCCTTTTGTGTTTTTATTAATAAATATCTTGAACCGCTTTTCCAAGTAGAATGAAGCAATCTTTAAAGCCCAAACTAAAGGGTCTGGTGTTGTTTGGGTGCTACAGAAGGTCTTGCATTTCATGCTAGGAAATGCTTGGTACGGAGTCTTTGCTAAGGATCGCTTGTACAGGGAGGTGACCACGAGATGCCCGCACAGACCATGCTGGCCTGCTACTTTACCTGGACAGTCTTCAGAGTGCCAAGAGCTCTGGGTGGCAATGTCTGTGTCCCGAGAGAAGGTCCTGTGGTGGCATCGTGGAGAACTGAGGGAACTGGTAATCTGTACGGCCAGTGTTGAACTGCTCTCACTGCTAAGCAGTGTCCTGCAGCAGAAGCCAATTCAGATGTCCTTTTTAGTTCTGTTTCCTGTGAAACGCAGCCGCAGACCTGGGGAGGCATGGCCTGTGGGCAGGCAGGACTTCCTCTTCTTTGAATTGTAGTGTGATACTTGAAGCCATTGGAAGCTAAGATCTCCCAACCCTAAAGCTGGCCTTAAAGTCACACGATTCCCTTAGCACACCAGGATCACCAGAACACATTAGCACAGACTGATGGGCAGCAGGCATATAGAAAATGGGCTCTGCTAGTTGTAACTGCATGTGCCTGCTGAAGATGAATTACCTCATGACTTGCTTTTGCTGTGATGTTCTTAGCTGTTCAAGACATGGGCCACATCCTTCAGGTGTTACAGAATGATCACTGGGCCCTGCTCATTTTGTCCTTGCTGTATTCATTGTTAGCTACGGGATCTTGGACATCAACTTCTCAACGAATCTCCATGTCTGTGCTGGAGAAATGATAATGCCTGTATTTTAGGATTATTATAAGAAATGAAAATAATAATTAAATAAATTCATGTATCTGCACTTTAGCTATATAGCAGGTACTTGATGTACTTTAATTGCCTTCTGCCTTAACCTCTGTCTACTTCCCAAGTGCCTGTTGCCCTCCTCTGGGTACCTGCCATGCGATGCTCTAGTTTTATACATATTAATATCATTGATGTTGAATTCTACAAAATCTCCCACATTATTTAAAAAACGTTCTAAGAAGTGCATATTTTTGTAGGTAAATAACTGTGAATCAACAAAGGAAATAGTAAAATAGTTCTTTGCTAAATGCCATTTGTGGCCAGATATTGTACCAAGTAAGTTGCAAACATTTTTCTACTTAACTCGCTAATAGCAATGATTTTAATTGCGAGAAGTGAAGCCCAGTGAGATTCAAGTAATTCATTCACCTGTGCATTTGCAGTATAAAATAATAACCATTTTATCAGTTCACCAGGATGTAAGCCACTTGGTTAGCTGTGGCCTGTAGCTGCATTAATTTACTGGGGTTTCCATGACAAAGTGCTATGGGTTGGTTGGCTAAAGTAATGGAAATTTATTTTCTCATAGTTCTGAAAGTTAGAAGTATGGAAGTGAAATGTCTATAAGGTCGGTTCCTTTTGAGGGCTATAGTAGTCAGCTTTATTGTTTCTGGTTTCAAATACCTGATACATAGTTTAATGAAGGGGAGTTTATTTTGTCTCATGACTTCAGAGGGTTCGGTCTGTGGTTACCTGAACCAAAATTATGTTAGAAGGGCACAGTGAGATGAAGCAGCTTAATTCATGGTGGCCAGAGTAGGGGAACAGTGCCAGAGAGGAGAGAGCAGGGACCAGATATTGACTCCAAGGTCAACCCTCCACGGCTCTCCTGCCATATCCTGAAGTGTGCTTTCCTAATTCCCTAGGCATCTCCCAGACAACCAGGGACTGCAATGAGTGGATTGTGTCCCCTCAAAATTTATCTGCCAAGCCAGTGTGATGGAACATAACTGTAATCCCAGTTCCATCCCAGCCTGGCAACTTAATGGTAAGCAAGAATCTGTCTCCAAAAAAAAAAAAAAAAAAAAAGGTAAAGAGCTGGGGATGTGGGGATGCAGCTCAGTAGAAGTCCTGGGCTCAATCCTCAGTCCTACATGCATACACAGGTGTTAAAGCTTAGAATTTGATCTCATGGTTGGACAGTTTCTTTACAAAAATAATTTCAAATGAGGCCAGAGTGAGACCTAATCCAATGTGGCTAATGTCCTCTTAAGGAGAAATTTGAACAGAGATGCAGAGAGAACACTATGTGAAGATAAAGAGGTCATTTATAAGTTTCAAAGAGACCTAAAACCGTCTCCCCACAACATCCCTTGTGACACGTAAGCTTATTTGTCAGTATGACTAGCTTGGGAGCGGCCCAAGGGATCTTCCTCGATACATATTAGACTGCACTTGTGAGTGAGGGATGTGTGATGCTCGCAGAGGTGCATGTGCGGCTCAGACACAAGCTTGGTCAGCTGCAGAATCAAACCGGCTTCCTTCACATCCTGGCCAGCTGTGCTTATGGAATGAATTGAAGCAAGTTATCAAAATTTACTGATTCTCTCATTTCTTGTCTTTAAAAATGACTGTGGTACCACTACCCTCCCAGAACCATTCAGTGTCTGAAATTTTAAAATTATCATGCAAATAATGGTAATCACATATGTCAACATATGGATCTCATTTGAACAGCGTTTTACTTTTTTTCCCCAATTTCTACTATGAATGTAGCACACATGCAAGAATCAATTGACATTTTAATCTATACTTTGAAAATGATTTTACTTTTAACCTTTTAATTTTGAAATGATTATTGAATCCCAAGAAAGAAAGAAAAATTGAAAAAACCCAAAGCACTCCCATATAGTGACTCCACCACGGAAACTCATTTCTTATGAATAAACATTCTGCACAGAGGCAGATTGGACTTTTCATTCACTTCCTCTCTCTCAGAGGAGGCAATGTGCTCAAGCGAGGAGAGAATGGCAACAACTCATCTAACCTTACCACTTTCCCATTGTTTTTTGCACAGTTTTCCTTTGAATTTTTTTTTTTAAAGGACAGAGTCAGTGTTAAGAGAAATCACTGGTTCTGGGTAAAAATCCTGCCAATGTGGGGTGTTAAGCTTTATCTTTTCGGCTGTCTGCTAATCCCGGCTCCTGGCAGACAGCTAATCTTAGGCAGATGCCAAGGGATGGGGTCGCACAGTGCAACTCTCTCATATATTTACCCCCAAATGAAAAACTAAAGTTTGTAGCATTATCTGGGAACCAAGGGTATGTTGCTTGCTTCATAGATTCCTACTCCAGAGTGCTGACTCTCACAGGGGATCAAAATGCATGTTTTTAACAAATTTTATGAAGAGTCTTCTGTGGAAACCTGAGTGAGTTAGCACCAGTGTTTCTGATTTATGATATTTAGGCATCTGCCCATTAGTAGCGGGGTGCTGGGTTCCAGAAGGCTGAGCTCACACTGCCTGGGACTCCCTTTCTGTCCTATAGCACATTGGGATCCTCCTTGCATCAGCTCTTTTAAGTCGTGCGAGGGCTTTTGAGGGGCTTCTCCGTGGAAACATAAGTGATATCTGACGCTGTGTTCAACTTCCGCCAGGTCTGTGACACCAGTGGGTAACTGTTACGGCTGCTAAGAAGTTGCCTCCTGGCAAAAAGCTGCAAACAGAAACACAGTGGGCATGCAGGTGCACCCAGTCATATGGGCACAATGTTCCTCCAACAAGGAGGTCAGGCGTCCGCTATTTCTTGGCCTGACCACCCCCAAGGCCTTCTGCATGAAGGAAAAATCCAAGATGGGTGAACCCAGAGCTCGGGGTGGGGGAGAGTCCGTGGGCCACGAGGGAGGGGCCGTTCTGAGTGCAGCCTGTGTTTCATATTTTCTTCCTTGCCTGGTTTTGTTTCATTCATCACCAAGTCCTTTGGTAAGCACAGGGGTAGAGATGATATGCCACTGTAGAAAGAGCTCTTCCCTAAAACCTTTGCCTTACGTTCCTTCGATGCTCTCAGGTCTTCACTCACATTCTTGACAGGTAAGTCATCAACGAATAAATCTCCAGGAACCACAAACTCATCGCTAAGCTCACACAGCCTTCCCCCAGAAGGAGTTCGTGGAGTTCACAATAATCAAGACCTCAATGTGTGGTGTAGTTATTCTGGTCATTTTACATAAACGTACAATTTTGTTATGACAATAAGCTCTCCGTGCTGGTATTCTTATTGCTGTCACATGTCTGACAAAGCAGCATCAGGGTCACCAGGTTCTCATGGCCCTAATGACAGATGCACCTGTGTGTGTCCCATCAATCTTTCTCAGTCGGCTTCTTCAAGGCGGCCCAGCACAGGAAGGTCTGCCCCACAGTGGCCATGGGAACAACAGGGACACACAGGGAGATGAGAGACGGTGCAGTGCCAGGAAGGAATGAAGCAGGATGGCAAGACAGAGAATGGCCTGGGCACATGGGGTGGGGCCTCTCTTCACCTAAGATGGCTGAGTTGGAATCTGCACAGCTGATGTCTAAGGAAGGAAAAGGAGGCAGTCCAGGGTTGCTCCGGAGGGAAGAGATTGCAGAGGGAACCTCCAGGCAAGGATGAGCTACATAGGTTTATATTTCTTAAATGACAAACCCCTGGATGGTGGTTGTACTTATTTCTCTTCTTGGAATCTGCTATAATGCTGAAGATTCATCTTGTGTTACCCAGCAGTAGATGCACTGAATTGAAAGTAGTCTAAAGCTAATTTTCAAATGACAATGTAGGGTCCAAACGAGGTGAAGTGATAGACCACCATGGAGATCTGGAGGCAAAATATGACCAAGGCCAGGTTCCAGCATTTGCAGAGCATTAGAGCTATGTCCTAATTCTGCATTTTAATGGCAGCCACAGAAAGCCAATTTTCTTGAACAGAGCATTGTTCAGACAAATCTGGCTGGGGATGTGACGTCATCCCCAAGGAAAAAAAATCTGCTATGGGTTGTTTGCCAAACACTTTTTCCCTGAGGTTAAAAACACTGTAGTATTTTTAAACCATGCAGGCAAAATCACTCCCTTCATGCAGGGGCTGAATTGCTGCCAGGGTCGCTAAGTTGGCAGGACCAAGAGCCCCACACCATCTGTCCTCATGTTGGCTGAATGTAGGTCCTGAAGCAAGAATGACATTAAGAACAAAAACAGCCTGGGCAATCACTGTGGAATCCCTGGATAGTCTTCGTGTCCACACATGTGATGAACAAGACTCTCCTCTCTCTCTCTCTCCCTCTCTCTCTCTCTCTCTCTCTCTCTCTCTCTCTCTCCCTCTCTCTCTTTCATTTTCTCTGTCTGTCTCTATCTCTGTTTCCTAACCGACTCCATTTATTGAGAGAATTTGAGCAAATTATCAAGCTTAGCAGATTCTCTCACTTCTCATTTGTAAAAGTGATGTAGTACCCTGTTTTATTCACTTTCTCATAATGGAGATGCAACACCCAGCACCAGCAAATTAAAGGCGGAGAGGTTTATTTTGACTCACAGGTTGTCGAGATTTCAGTCCACAGTCAGCTGGCTCCAAGGAAGGGCAGCATGGTCGAGGGGCCTGGTGGAGGAGGTACAGCTCATGGCATGGAAGCTAAAAGCAGAGAGAGAGAGAGAGAGAGAGAGAGAGAGAGAGAGAGAGAGAGAGAGAGATCAAGGGGGAAGGGAGAAAGACAGATCCTCCAGGCCACACTGCCAGTGACAACCTTCTCCCACCGGACTTCACTCCCAACCTCACAGTTAGTTTATTTTAATTTGTTAAATTATTAATTCATGGGGTGTTTGATTTGGGAGCATTTTGAAGCAGGATTTCACTCTGTAATGCAGGCAGGCCTTGAACTCACTGTGTAGCCCAGGCTGGCCTCAAACTCACAGTGATGCTTCTGCTACAGCCTCCCGAGTGCTGGGATT